AAAAAAAAAAAAAAAAAAAAGAGAGAGAGAGAGAGAGAGAGAGAGAGAGAGAGAGAGAGAGAGAGAACAAAGGGTCCCCTTCACGTCAATTCGAGGGCCCCTGCAGGTACCTCGAGTAGCTCCTACAATACATGTGGAGCCATTGAGGGCCACTGCTTCAATGAGAAGGATGGCCTCGTCATGCGTGGAAGAGATGGGGGCAGACCACCAATATATGCTGTGGATTCGAGTTCAGGGCTGTAGCTCGGCAGTTATGGGTCACCAATTCAGGTAGACCCTGTTCGTGTCTCCATGCGATTCTCAGGGCCTCCCTCCACCACTCACCAAATGCATATAATATTAGTAGAATGAATCTTCTGCTAAAGCATGGAACCATACACCGCCATATGCTATGTCTTTTGTGCATTTGGTGAGTAGTGGAGCAGACCCCACTGGACGTATTCGTAAGAAAACAAAAACAAAAAAACAAGAGAGCCGCGGACATCTTCATCCTAACCCATAACTGCCGACATGCAGACCTGAACGCCAATCTTCAGCATATATTGGTGGTTGGCTGGCCATGGAAATCTCAACTTGTGACACCTGTGAAGCTTTGCGGGGCAGGTCGTTATTAGGCGACTACTCCTCCTTGCGAACTTACCCCACCACTGTGTGGAATTTGCAGAAAGGAGAGGGAAGGACAGCTTCCATACCCCGCCTAAAATAAAAGTTGGAATGAGCCCTATTTTATGCTTCGCCATTCTGAAACTTTTGAGGGAAGGGCCTGCGGAATCGAAATTCGGCAGCCCTTACCCAAAATAAAATTTTGTGCCGGAGGCGCGTCCGGTTTCCGAGCTCGCGCGGTGAGTTTAACATTTTTGCGGAGTTGGGGGCCCTAAGAAATTACCAAACCCCTACTTTTTCTTTTTTTTTGGACCTAATTTTTCCAGTGCGCTGTGCGGTGCGCTGCGCGCGGTGCGCAATTTGTGCGCAAATCCGCGCACCGAGGTGCGCCGCAACTATGGTAAAAAAAGTAAAAAAACACACACACAAACAAGCTGGGCATCATCCAGCGAAGACCACTGGTTGGTCACCCAGCTCTGACGCTGTGCTGGTTTGCACAGTGGACCGTGCAGGTGGTTGCAGCTGATCCCTACTGCCTTCACCCAAGTATAATTGCCTGGTTATCATAGCTGTATTTTGGGCAACTGTCAGTCTAGATACGGTGATAAGGCCCGGGCGTTGTTCTGTTTGATTGAAGATGGTAGTCCAATGTAGAGAAAATATTAGTCCTCTTCTAGGATTTCCTAATTCAAAGTATATATCATATTTTGTTTGCCGATTGACTCGATTCAAAGTATGTGATATTCAGTCAGTCTGTCTTAATTGCCCGCTGATGGTTGTTCTCTTGCTTTTTTATATTGCCCTGCATATATTTTTGACAGGGTGCAAAGAATGGAGCTCGACAAGTCGAAGTGACCATCAATGGGATTGGAGAACGTGCTGGAAATGCATCCTTGGAAGAGGTGAGTGACTCTCTCTCTCTCTTTTTTTTTTTTTTTTTTTTTTAAAACAAAACGCCCAGGTTCTTGTAGAGGCAGGGTATCAGGTGCGGGAAAATTCTCTTTTGGGGTTCCGTCACTCGAAGTTCGGAATGACCCACTTGGGCCCTCGGGACCTTCCTAGACGGAGTCCTATATGGGCTTAGAGCCCCATGTCCCTTCCACACCCTACAGCTTGCCACCAGAGATCAGATTCTTGTCCCTACAGATCCGACTTCCAACAACTGGATGTATTGCGGGTTCACTCTAAGCAGCTTTGTCCCCCAACCATGGACTTGGCAGATCCCGAGCCGATCCCCCCTCGGACAGGCGTAGAGGGCCTACCTCCCTCCTATTAATGTACAGTACAATACGTTTTTTTTTTTTTTTTGTACTTGTCAATGAAAACCATCTGTTTTAATGGGTCAGATAGGCTATGGTGGCCGACCGGTTGTAACAAGTTTCGGGGAGGCCGGCCTCTGACGTACAATAGCGATGCGAGGTACCACAAGGCTGGCCTCTCGCGTCATGCTATAAAACCAACAAGATATGGTGGAAGAAAAGAAAGAAGAAACCAACCGCCCTAGCTCAGTTGGTACACCCCTTTACTGTCCAAATACGGACCCCCCAAGTTCAAACTCCGCTGGAAGCAGATGAGTGGAATGATACTACAACAATTCTGAAGTACCTACGACCGGTCAGTTCGATGATGATATCTCAAGGCTGTCGCTGGTTAAAAAAAAAGGAAGAAGAGGAAAGAGTAAGGGAAAAAAGAAAAAAAAGAAAAAAAAAGGAAAGAGAAAGAGAAGAAAAAAAGAAAAGAAAAGAAAAGAAAGAAGAAATAGATCTCTGCACAAATCTGACCCTAATTCAGAAAATTTCAGAAAAGAAAAGACATAATGGTAGATCCACCCTGTTACGTAACCCTTTTTCTATGCTGGATTTTTCTTTTCTTTGGCGGCTGTTTTTGACTCTTTCCCAACATAAAGCATGTTGATCGCTTGCCACTCTCCGTATGTGTAATGAACCCAGATCGTGAAGACAGTTATCAACAATGCAAGTCCAGATGAATGTCAACAGCCGATGAGTACCAATAATCACGATCGTGTCCAGACAGAATGAGATGAGATAATCATACACAGACGAAGAAGAGAGGAGGGAGATTAGACAAAGGAGAGGAAATACAATGCCCACTCCTGCTTCGGGCTCCCTCCTCCAACACTTCAATAATAGACAGTCTGAACGAGTATCTGAAGTAACGGCTTAGTAACCTCAATGTGCCACGTGGCACGTCTAATTAGTCTCTCATCAGCACTGGAGCAATGTCAACATGAAGACAACCAGGTACGTATTTACGATCTCTCCACAGTCCCGATCTTCCTCTTCCCTCACAATCAGTCACCTCATGTAGACAGCGTGGACAATGCCACGTCAGCAATCAAGACAGGTGGCAACGCCACATCAGCAATGAAGACCAATAGTAGCACCACGTAGACCAAGAGCAGCGCCACATACACCAGAGGCAGCGTCACGTCAGCATGCCATGTAGACCAGAGGCGGCGCCACATATACCAGAGGCAGCACCACATCAGCATGCCACGTAGACCGTAGGCAGCGCCACATATACCAGAGGCAGCGCCACATCAGCATGCCACGTAGACCGTAGGCAGCGCCACATATACCAGAGGCAACGCCACGTCAGCTTGCCACGTAATCCAGAGGCAGCGCCACATGAGCATGCCATGAAGACCACAGACAGCGCCACGTCAGCATGCCTGGCGTACAATGCCAGCGTGCTGCTTCTCCCACGTGTCGTCGTCCGCAGCTCTAAAGAACAGCCAGCGTTTAGCCAGCGTCGTGCGAGGATAATGCCAGCGTCAAGTCAAAGTCAAGCTAGCGTTGAACCAGCATAGTAAGACTGAATGCTGACCACCTCGAAGCCCAACTTTAAGTAGTGTTTGGCGAGGCTCTCTGGCCTCGAGTCTCCTCCCATCAGTCGTCCAGATTGAGTCACAGCCGAAGGCCTGGATTGTACAGTTGCAGAATTTCCCCTTGGACTTGATGCTGTCTGGGTACCTGCATACAAACAAGCGTGTGTGCTTGACCGGTGGCCTGGACTGGGTACCTTTGGACTTGACTGTTGGGGTCCCGACAGTTGACAAAAGTCAACTGTGGCACGCCTGAATCCCTGTGTGGGGTCCCTTACCTCGTTTTTGGCCTGGCTGAGGGCGGCCAGGTCGGCCCTCAGATTTCTACGAGACATATGGCATGGGTTATTGCATATGTGTTTTGGTCCTATTTTTCCATCACTGGTATGGATTGGACTCTTGAGAATAGCTCCAATTCCAAGAGAGAAGGGCTACCAAAACTTTTTAGGATATCTTTTTAGGAGGCCCTTCCCTTACCAAGGGAATGTTCTACGACCTGAGTGGGCTAGGTGGGCTCAAGGGGAAAGTTGTTTGGAAACGATCGGACTTGAAGCAAAGCAATTCGTGTACTACACACCGCCACTGTTCGAACGTAGTATACCAAATTATGAAATCATTCCTAAACATAAACTAAGGCGCAGCATACGTCCTGTATAAGAATGCATGTACATATCACGGCCGATGGTACTTGCCAGATCTCCCACTGAAACAACAACAAAAAAAAGACCAGGGCAACAGATGTGAAGATGTCTGCTTTGTAGTTTGTTCAACTTTGTTACGTAAAAATGTTGCGTGATTGAATCTGGAGAAGGAAAGGAAAAGAGTCCATGAATTCTCACGCCTACATATTCATCTTGCACTTGGTGATGCAGGTTGTGATGGCTCTGCGATGTCGGGGCACAGAGCAGTTTGGAGGGCTCTTCACTGGAATTCAACCAAAGCATATTGCGCACACGAGCAGGATTGTAAGTGATGCACACCACAAAATTATGGTGGAAGTGTTACAGGGAATGCAGCTGGGATTGGCTCTTAAGGATGATGGTTGAGGGGNNNGGGGGGGGGGGGGGGGGGGGGGGGGGGGGGGGGGGGGGGGGGGGGAGAATCGGGGGAAAGGTGGATTGCTGGTGATGGGGCAGATGAAAGCTTGTCTCTGACACGTACTGGTCGACCATCCAATGGGTGTGCACAGCTGAGCGATTGGTTATAAGACACGTGATTGGACAATGATTTGGTTTGCACCCCATTTTGTCTCCAGCCCCATCATCATCATCGTCATCATCGTCATTGTGACTGTCATGAGCGGCATTGCACTTGTTGTTGTTGTTGTTCTTGTTTGTCGATGTTCTTGTTTGTTGATGTCGTTGTTGTTGTTGGCATCATCACTGTCATTGCCTTTTTCATTGCCATGGATGCCTCCTCCTCCCCATTAGATCTTCGATTACCACCATTTTGACTTCCACGAGGTTATGCAACTGAGCTCTAGAGTCTCTCAGTGCGATTAGTGGAAAACGTGTTGATGGTCCTTGCATGGCGTGTTCTGTTATCTCGATGTATTGTGGAAAAGCAGGTTTTGACCCGGGATATGGTTTAAACCACCAGTACTTGGCCCAGCTATTGGCCGCAGGAAAAAAAAAAGTAGAAACGTTTCTGGTTGGATGAATTTGGCCGCTCCTGTAGTGGCCTGTACGTTTCCTAAAATCGCGGTTTGTTAACGGGCACAACTTTAGCAAGTACTGCAGTGGTTTAACAACTTCAATAATTCTTTTTCAACTCACGATCAATGGATGGGTTCAAGCTATATAGTCGGTGGTTAGTTGGGTCCGGGACTCTCGCCAGGCATCTATTTGAGGCAGTGTTTCCTCACTCTTATTTTATGTCCTATAGTATAGATGGTTTGGCCTATTTTGTTCCTGCTGCTGTTTTTCCTGTTTCAGTCACATGGTTGGCTCTATGATTCTATCAGATGAGGAAAACGGTGGCATTGTACTTCATTGTTACATATCGATGAATAGTCGTAGTCCCTTTGATCAGGTGGCAGCTGTTGTCCGATCTTCTTCGGTATCTGGAACGAATGTAGTCTTGGTTCTTTTCTGTTTTGCTGTATTTGTTTTTTGCGGTTTTACCCTTGACTAAGTTTACTTGCTTGCCCTCTTCCTCCCTGCACACTCTATCTGCTTTTCTCAGTTGCTGCTTTGGTTTTCGATGTCTTGCTGAGCTTGGTGTCTAGCACTGCGTCTGCCCTTATGTTGTTCCACGTTTAGAAACTGAAGGCCTGGGGTGTGTGTGTTTCGTTGCAGGTTTCAGAATTTACAGGGATGTCAGTCCAGCCACACAAAGCAATCGTTGGAGCCAATGCTTTCGCTCACGAAAGTGGAATTCATCAGGTGCGTTTGTGAGGCCTGCATGATTCTTTTTTTCTGAGGCTTACCCGCAGACCAGAAAGGGAAACCCTTGTTTCGTAATTCATCCATCCTGCTTTTTCACCATGGCACCCACCCAACTCTTGGAAGATCTGTTTGACCAAGCGTTGCATGTTCACCCTTGCGTCATGGCTCTCTTTGCGGCATTGTGTTTAGCGGATACACAACACGCACACATGTGTGTGTGCGTGCAATGCTATGATCCTGGTTAATCCATGATGCAGCAGTCGACGTGGGGATAATGCCATCTATCACAGTCAAGGAGTGGTGGAATAGGACAGAAGAAAGAAGAATGAGGAAGAGAAGCAGCAGCAGCAGAAGACGAAGACGAAGACGAAGACGAAGGCGGCGAAGAAGAAGAAGAAGAAGAAGAAGAAGAAGATGATGGCAATATTGAACCAATGTCAGCTCGCTCCTGAACTGATCGCCATCATCATCCCGACATAAGCTCCTCCTCTTCTTATTAATTGATCGATATATGACAATAAATGAATGAGTGAACAAGGAATCGATATCCAAAACGATGTCCCTCATTGCCAATGCAGACAGACTCTCCTTTAGCTGTCCATTAACGATCTCCCTCATTGCCAATGCAGACAAACTCTCCTTTAGCTGTCCATTCTCTCTTTCCTCCTTCTGGTAAGTGCTATACTGGATAAAGGCGGACCATCCCAGCCTTGTGCAGGATGTTCAAATGCCACTAAAGTGCGATAGCACTACCTCCTCCTTCACCGCCAGGAGTCGTTCACCGATGAAGTCCATGTAAAAAGAGTACCCTGCGGGTCTTCTGGATCCAACGCAAACAGAGGAAGTGGAGATGAAGTTCCACCATAGACAAAGGTAAGTCTTCCTTCCGGTTCCCCCCTCCTTTCCTTCCTCATTGCTTCGCTAGTCTCCTCCTAATCGACTCCATAGCCCAATGTGGGCTTCTTCGTCTTCCTCCCTCCAGAGCCATACTGCTTCCCCTCATGTCCGACGACTCCATAGCCAAGGAGGTCTTCTACGGCAACCTCTACGTCCTCCTCATCACCCCTCGTGCTCTGCCAACCTCCCCCTCTAGGTGGGGGAGCGACATGAGTGCTGGGTGAATGTCCAGCCTTGCACTTTCTGTGGAATGATACACTCCTTGCCTCTGGCGTCTTCTGCCTCAATTGGCAGCCTCTTTAGACTCAACGGGTGGATACCTTGCCTAGCGGTTCCCTCATTTTGGTGGGAAGACGGTCACAGACTGCAAGTGTCACTGGTTACCTCCCAACCGGACCGGTATCCAGCCCAGATACCGTCTGGTAGCATCATATCACCAACCTGCAAGTATCACCGGTTACCTCCGAACCGGACTGGTATCCAGCCCAGATACCGTCCGGTAGCATCATAACACCAACCTGCTAGCTACCGGACTCGAGACCTACGTGAGTTGCCAGGAAATGCCCTCCGGATCTCCCAAATCTAGTGCTATCCCTGGTGGCTCTATAATTCCCCATAAGTACTTCTGCAGCCAAATTCTGCTCATGTCCCTGTAACTACAACCTTTTTACTGATCTCTGACTCCCCGGGATGAAGAAATTCAGCACCTGCAGCACGAGAACAGAGTTAGCACACTGGCACAGACCAAGACTCAGCATACATCAGACAAACTCACAGACACAGGAACAGGACCAGGAACAGGAACAGAAACAGGACCAGGAGAATTCAGACTCAGAAATCTCAGCAAATCAGAGAAAAAGACAGCAGCTTTTTTGGAAAACGAGCAGAATTTTGAGACTGCGACTGTCCAGGTCATTGCAGTGGGCAAATAGACAATACTTATTTTGCAGGCAAAGCTGCGGTGGGCCGATGCGCGCTGTTGCTGGACCTTCTGGATCGCCTGCGTTCTTCAGAGTCTGCAGCAACGTGACAGCAATTCAAGGGTCCTTTGGGAGAGAGGGTCAGGTGTACTATAGACTATTCTACATCAAAAAATTGACTGGCCCGGTCACTGACTATCGTCATTTCAAGTCAATACTGTCTTAGTGGTAGTTATGGGATCTCTTTCTGCGAGTTATCTGGACCTCCTTTGATAAACCAAAGGTTGCATTTCCCCGGAGCCTAAAATCTACGATGCTGAAGTGACGCGAAATAGTCATGGCGTACACTTACCTGAGCGAACCTCTATCGCGCCTGGGCACTGTAGATTTTGGCCCGGTACTACTTGTAGACAAGAAAAATGAACAGTGCAGGGGCCATTGCCGTCGTGGTTCAAGGGTCCCACCGTCCCAGCGAATTGTTCAAGAACAACATTCTGCATTTCGTTTTGCAAGGGTCGCTGTTGGAAAGCAACAGATTCTCTCTTGCGCGGTTCTTTTTCTTTGTCGTCGTTTCCTTTTTCTTTCTTTCTTTTCTTTCCAAGAGAGGGTATCCTATTAGCATTAGTGTATCGATCTGATGACATCAGGATTTGAACTTATGGTTTGTACTGATCAACCACCTGGTCTCAAGGTTCATGTTTTTGATCACAGAAGCAGATGAGAGTTTGTGTGGTAATAGACCGATGAAGAACCCCACCGTCCCAGGGAATTGTTAAGAACAACATTCTGCATTTCGTTTCGCAAGGGGCGCTGTTGGAAAGCAACAGATTCTCTCTTGCACGGTTCTTTTTCTTTGTCTTTGTTTCCTTTTTCTTTCTGTTACGATCCTGGCCAATTTCGAAGTATACATTCATCAGGAAGTACAATGCCGTCCAATTGCAAAAAGAAATGAATGAACTTGAGAGAAGAGAGAGAGGGAAAGAAGAGGAAGAAGAAGTGAGACAGAAGAAGAAGATGATGTACTCCAGCATAGGCCAATGACAAGGCTCTTCTTCTTCGCCAACCAATCTCCTCCTCCTTATCTCCTCCCCTCTTATTCAAACAAGAAATAACAATAATAATGTTGAATGGCTGAACCAGAATCAATGTCCGAATCCCACTTCTACTGCAGGCACAACATGAGGTCCACCATAGCCATGGCCACCCTTCTCCTTCCTCGTCATTGCAGGCCGAGGCTATGGCGGACTACTGAGGCTTCAGCCTCCTGTCCAAAGGACAACCCAAAGCAGCTATATCGCTGCCACTTGAAGCAGCTATGCCGCTGCTCACTGAACCGCCATGCCTGACTCTACCCCGAGCTTCCTTGGTGCTGCACTACTCCAACGGGGGGCTTCCAGATGCAGCGCCTAACAAGGTGATGAAGATGGTGCCCACCATAGCCAGGTAGGTACCTCGCCACTCTCCCCCTTGGTCCCCTTCTCCCTCCTCCTACCGGCCGAGCTCCACCATAGCCGAGGTGGAAGCTCCCGGCTTCTTCCTCCCAGCAGCACTGTAGCAGCCAGCGCTCTTCCAACCAGCGCTCCAACAGCGCGACGCCCAACTCGCACACCGAAGAATGAGGCCGAGCTCTTGCCTCATACTCTTGATATAGCGGCCTGCTTGCCTCCTGGGCGGTGACTTCCAGGCCTCTCGGCCTCCCAAGCAACCGGTACCTCCTCCCTTTCGGAGGGAAACATCATTGCAGACTCTGATATTGCCCGTACAGGC